GGCGAGCCATAATTTTTTTTTAGGGGTAACTGGGGCGCAGTCACGAAAGCAGTTTCTAAATACATTTCAAATTGCCCTTTGGAGTCCAGTCCAGTTGGAAGTTTCCAATGCAGTCGAAACTCTGCTTTGCAGAAAAGTTGCACCGCGGAGTTTGTAACTGCAGTCCAGTCAGGCACGTGGCTGTTTTTTTTCTTCTTCTTCTTCTTTTCTTTTTAATCTCGGCTGTGGCCCAGCCGTGCGACGAGATACTCACTCTTTTTTTTTTTTTTTTTTTGAAACAACTCCGCGGGTGACCGCTGCACAGTTTCGAATTCGCAGGAATAACAGTCCACTCCAAGCTTGGGCGAAGACAAGTTCGAAACTGCAAGGAAAAATGCGTTCGACGGCCTACCGGAAACGCAGAGGGCCCCAAAGAGATACAGGGAGTGAATCTTCGCTAGAACATGGAAAGATACAGCGCCATGATTTTTGTCTTTTGTGCAAAGGGGATACAGGGGCCCAACGAGATACACGGGCTGACAACAACCTATGCGTGTCATCCTTTGGCGGTGCATCTTTCCATGTTCTCGTGGAAGATTCACTCTCGTTTTTTTTTTTTTTTTTCAAGCACTGTCGCGTGGCTGGCCACTGCCGCGATGCCTCGGCCACATCCGAGGTAAAAGAAAGGGGAAAAAAAAAAAAGACAGAGAGAGCATCCCGTCGCGTGGCTGGGCCACGGCCGCGATGCCTCGGCCACGTTCGAGATTTAAAAAAAAAAAAAAAAAATTGCAATTTCGCGGTGTATCTTTCCATGTTCTAGTGGAAGATTCACTCTCGTTTTTTTTTTTTTTTTCAAGCACTGTCGCGTGGCTGGCCACCGAGGTAAAAGAAAAGGAAAAAAAAAGAAAAGAAAGAGAGAGCATCCCGTCGCGTGGCTGGGCCACGGCCGAGATTTAAAAAAAAAAATAATAATAATGCAATTTAGAACTTGTCTTCGCCCAAGCTTTGAGTTTCGAACTTGTCTTCGCCCAACCTTGGAGTGGACTGTTATTCCTTCCTGCGAATTCGAAACTGTGCAGCGGTCACCCGCGGAGTTGTCTCTTTTTCTTTTTTTTCTCGGGCGTGGCCGAGGCATCCCAGCGGTGGTCCAGCCACGTGCCTGACTGGACTGCAGTTACAAACTCCACGGTGAGACTTTTCTGCAAAGCGGAGTTCGGTCACTGCATTGTAAACTTCAGACCGAACTGGACTCCACAAGGGCAGTTTGAAATGCATTTAAACCATGACCCCTCCCTAGTTTTCTCTTTTTTTTTTTGTTTTGTTGTTTCTGTAATATTCCTCAGAAGACCCCCAACCACCCTTTCTCTGTTCAATTAACACGGCGCACCCCCACCCGCTCTGTCCTACCTTAGTGTGGACAACTCAGGACCATCATCATCACAAACTCGGGTAGGTGGCCTGACCAGACACTGCAGACAGCAGTTGCAGGCACCCGTGCTGAGCTGGGGGTATCCCTACTTCCCCACTCAGCCCTGGTTGAAGCCGGCGTGCAAGCCCTGTTGCACTGGTACTTCGAGAGCTAGGTGTGAACGTAATTCTATCGGCGGTGAGGAGCATTACAGGCCTCCCGACTTTGTGAAGCCTTTTTAATGTCTGGAGCACGAATGTGGAAAATACTCACATGGGGACCTGAAGTCACAAATATTGCCGCATTTGGTACCAGGTGCGGAATCTATCCGGAAAGGACAGACTAGCCGCCCTGACACTTGACCCTCATATGGAGTGAGCGTAGTCACAGTGCTCAGGACTCAAAACTATGTGGATTTTTTGTTTTCTTCATGCACGAGTTGCTGCAATTACGTCACCAAAGAAACAAAAGTCGACGGCCAGCGGCCCCTGTAAGTATGACACCCGGTCTGACACCACGGCCGTGGGACCGGCGTGGGTACTTCGGTTGCCTTTTCGAACTTGGCGCGGTTTTCTTTGCCGACGCGTGTTTTTTTCCGCTCATTCGATACTCACAGGTGACATGAACAGGTGACATGAACGTACTTACCTCAAAAAAAAAAAAGGGGGAAGTACGTTTATGTCACCTTGGAGTATGAATAGGCAAAAAAAACATCGCCTTGGCAAAGAAAACCGCGCCGAGTTCGAAAAGGCAACGGAAGTACCAACGGTCGTGGTGTCAGACTGGGTGTCATATTTACAGGGGTCGGCCGTGGTGTCAGAGGGGAAAACAAAAAAAAAAGAAAATGGCCGACTGTTACTTTTGGACCGTGATCGCTCATTTCGAGCTAGAGCGTGCTTTCTTTGCCGACGCGTGTGTTTTGTGCCTTAAGAGTTTGAAAACATGCCGCGTCCGCCGTTGTTTCAAAAAAAAAAACCTGGCTCACAAACTGAACCATCATGCTCAAAGGCAGTGGCCACAGCTAAGTATTGCTTCTGTTGCCATTGCTGTCGAGAATGTGGTAGAGAGATAGATGTCAAACAAGAAATGGCAGGTAGGAGGGGATGGAAATGGATGTCCAAAGAGAAATTTGAAGTACTGGGACTGAGAAACACGATATCTTCCGGACCATCTTTCATCTCAGAGATGTAATTGTGCTCTCTGCATTGGCATGATACAGGTGGCCAGTGCCTCAGGAATCATGATAGCAATTCTGCATGGGCACCAAGATGAGCCTAATATGGTTCACTGTTCATGTGCTCGCCAATGCATCTGGCGACCTGTATCGTGGAAAAGCACCATGCTGAAGGTTTTATCTCATGCAAACAGGAAATCTTTCATTGAGTTCTTGCACTTTTTCCATCACATTTTCCCCACACATGAAGTCTTTCAAGTTTCAACCAATAAGGCAGATGCAGGTATAGAAGTCAGGGAGATAAACAACATAGTCCTTGAATTTGAAAGACAACAGCAAGGGATAATTGGTAGAAAGAGCCCACGCCAAAACCTTTCCGGTTTTGGGCGCCCGAAACTCGGCCTTTTGGTACTACCAGCCCAAACCGTCTTCAGCCTGGGTGAAAGGCGCCTTCGCACCGTGGCCACATCTCCCTGGGCCTGTTCTTACCGGTTCAAGAATTTGGCGCTGTTTTTGCGCCAGATTCATGAACCGGTAGGGCCCTTCTTTTTCAAAATCCCGTATGTGGGCCTCATTCTATACTTCAGCGGTACAACCGTCGACCTCTTTTACATCAAAATGAATCTAGTGCTGTTATGTGCCAGATTCATGATCCGGTAGGGCCCTTGGAGCGACTCTTGGGCCTGTAGTACCCCAAAGTCATTCGGCCAGTAGTACCAAACGCCCTAGTTTCGGGCGCCCAAAACCGAAAAGGTTTTTGCGTGGGCACTTTCTACTGATTATCCCCAACAGCGAGCATCCTTCAGTGACCTTCACGCGTTGAGCCAGGCAACAAGAACCACTTACTTAACCATATTTTCTCATTATTTACTGCATAAATCAAGATCACAGTTCTTGCTTTCCCATTTGCAGTTCAGTAGATATAGCACAGTCCTGGCTCAAAGAGAGAGAAATAGCCTCAAATAGGTCCAACAACCATTCAAAGCAGCTACTTGTTTGACATACAGTTATGCAGCAGCGACAGTCCACCCACTCTGACCACAGCCAACCCGCGGGCACAGCTTCCTCACAAGCACTGCCCTCTCAGGGAGCTGACGTGTTGTCCAACTTGTCCAAGGTATCAACTTACTGAGGCCATCATGGCAGAAACGAAGAAATGAAGAAATGAACACTGACTGAAGTGAAAGCTAGCAGAAAAGTAAAGGAGAACTATTCATACTTCCACAATTATGCACATTAACCACTACAGAAGAAATTGGTCATTCTATGGCTTGAAAAAAGCAACTTAACAAGTTGTTATTGGCTGACAGCAAGTAATGTCCGCAAAAGGAGACCATAAGACTGCCCATGTCTCAGTATGTTTTTGACCGAGTCCTACTTCGAAGTGGGAGCACAGCCACTGAATGCCACGGCGCACTGCCATCATCAGTGCAATGACAGATTGAGTATCCAGGAGAATTTAATCTTGCAGTGCCACAGAGTCTTCCAAGCCTTCAGAAACAGGCGGGCGAAATGAACTTCTTGACACCTCGTGTAAAACAAACAACCGAAAATTCATACTAAAATGTAAAAGCATACAGAGATTAAGTTTAAACAGTAATCCTACTAATTCTTAATAAGAAGATCAAGTGCAGTATCTGTTCTAATAAGTTTAAAATCTGATAATAATTAAAAAAAAAAAAAAAAAGACGATCAAACAGATCCATTTCCCATGACCTGCTTGAAGGCTGGGGAATATTTGCTTCGCGACCCACAGAAGAACTCCTTGAAGAAAGAGAATACTATAAAATCTTATGACTGTCCTCCACCGACTGGATGTGATTCAATGCGAGCTTTCAAACCACCTATACCTTTCCATGCTATGGCTACACTGCTGCTACACTGCTGCTACACTGCTGCTACACTGCTGCTACACTGCTTCTACACTGCTGATACACGGCCGCTACAGTGTCCCCAGGGTCCGTCACAAGTGCATTTAACCCGGAGCAGGCAGGCCTGTACAGGCCGAGCGGGTAAACCACCGCCAATTTCAGAGGTACTGGTGGTTCTACTCCTTCAAAAAAAAAGAGAAAAAGTTGAAAGCCTCCTTGAATGATTCACGGATTGGTTGAATCATTGAATGAGTATGACAGATGAAAGCAGAGTAACTGCATGCGAGACGCAAAAAGGGAGTGAGGGAGGAAAGGGGGCAAAAGACAGGCAGTGAGTGAGTGAGTGAGCGAGCGAGCCAGCGAGCGCTTTGGTAGATAGGGAGTGGGGTGATTGATATACCACATATTTGAAGGACATGAGCTAGTGTTTAAAAATACTATTAACACACTGTATTACAGTGACTCAGTGAGTGCAATCGGAGCTTTCACTTCATGAAACCATTAGAGTACGACTCTATATGATCCATCCACGGTAAGATGCGTATGCGGTAAAGTGAGAGCATGCAAATTCCATCATCAAGCTTTACTTCCCCATAATTGGGTTCTTTGATTCGTCCTTCCCCTTCATCACTCTGACTAAGCTATTTCGGAATGCTAACGCTCTGCAGAGTCTGCACATCCTTTACCTCGATGGAGTAGACTCATTCAATGGGGGTGAGATAGGCCTAAGACTCCCCCACCCCATTCCGGACCCAGGGGGCCCATTTTTGGGCTTCCTTTTCCCTTTGAAGTTTGAACGACCTGGTGAACCCTTGAACGGCCAGCTCTACCCTAGCCTCACCCATTTGAATGGCCCCAGTTGTGTTCAAATGACCTGAGCGCCATTCATAAGTATGGACTGCGCCCTGTACTCCTCAAAGGGAGTCAGCAAGTTCCAGTTTCTGTGCAATAGCCTCCAGCGAAGGCAGGATGGCACCCTCACCTGTCATCATAGTTGGCCTGTGGCGTCTGTTCAGACTTGCACACCTCAACCCCACTCGTGCAGCTTCCAAGGCCAGATCATTGTCCCAGCTTCCTGCGTTTGGGTCCAGGGCCCTTCTGAAGGCTTCCACATCTTCCACTGCGTCTTCCATGATTCCGAACGCATTCCTAAACTTTCCCGTGAGGATCTCCAGGATGGTGATCCCGAATGCGTAAACATCGGTCTGCTGAGTAAAGACCTCAGTTTGGGAGAACTCTGGGGCCAGGTACCTTGCATCACTTGAGGGGAGCAGATGCATATTAGTCGGTGATTCACCGTCTTCAGTAGCGGGCTGGGCAAGCAAGGGCTGCAAGGCCATGTCAGCCTCTGTGATCTTGGCAACGAACTCACCATCCAAGCAGATGTTTTCCGGCTTGATGGTGCGGTGGATGATGGGACCACCACCACCTCTCTGTGGCTGGTTGGTGTGAAGGAACGACAGGGCTTGGGCGACCTGAGCAATTATCCGCAGACGAACGTACCATGGGAGGAAACCCCTTTGTGACCCTCTCGAGGAGGAGATCCACTCTTTCACGTTTCCTTTGGCCATGTGCTCGTAAACGAGACAGTTTCCTTCGTAGCAGACTCCAAGAAGCATCTGCAGGTGAGGATGCCGAAGAGACCTCAACCGATCCACAAGCTCCCTTGTCAATTGGCCACATGAATTTTCTGTCATGCTGTTTCCACCCTTCTTGAGTCTCTTTACTTCGACTGGTGTGACCATTCCCATGATCTTTCCCATGTAGACACATCCGTAATGCCATTGTCGGAGTTTGCAGTTGTCATGGAAGTCATTTGTTGCAGTCTTCAATTCTTCCAAGGGAAACTCTCTGCATGGATGCATGTTCATTGTTCGTACTCCAGAAGAATTCTCCAATCTCCCCGGTGCACCTCCTTCTGTCTCCAACCTCCGTTCCAGTTCGTGAACCCTGACCTTTGATCTCTCAAGTTTGTCTTCGAGGACCTGCCTTTGGGCCAACAGACTGTTGTTTTCATGCTCCAGCTGCTTTACCCTCTCCGACAGCAATCCTTCTGCCCTCTCATGCTCAGCTCTGAATCTCTCAAGTGTCACTTCTAGTGTCTGCCTCTCTGCCCACACATTGCTCAGCTTGGTTTGAAGCTCCGTTATCTTCTGTGCATGCACTCGCATCACTTCCTCACTTCGGAATCCCTTTTTCAGCGCCGTCCTCTCTGCCCTCACAGTGCTCAACTCAGTCTCCAGTTGCTTGATCCTCGGTGGATCTGCTCTCTCAAATCGAAGACTTTTGTCCGACTCTGCTCTTGCATCTCCCCCCTCCGTTTGCACTCCCCCCTCTACGTTGGCCTTGGAGCTCACACCTTCAATGGTAATGAAACACAATGTTTCTTTGCGCCCAAGCACAAGTGTACTGTCGTTTCTGCACAGAACTGCCTTCGCCAATCCCTCAACAAGGCCACTGCGGAGGATCTTTGCTAACTGATAATTTGAATCGTTCCAGATCTTGATGGTCCCATCGTCAGATGCACTGATTATGTACGGCAAGTCGGGATGGAAAAAAGCCTGCACTACGGCATGCTCATGTGCATCGTCACAAGTTACGACACATTCTTTGCTCTCGTGATCCCAAACCATGAACTTGCCACATTTATGACCGGTGATAAGGAGTGAATTCCGGGGTCTAGTGGAGAATGTTGTAGAGGTCACTGGGCTCTCACCTTCAAACGTGTGGAGAAGACACAGAGAATCCTGCTTCTCAGCATCCAAGATCAATATATTCCCGTTAGAATCGCCAGCTGCATGAATGTGTGATTTATGAGGATGGAAGTGCAGTGTCGTTATCCGAGTCTCATCATTTGGAAAATGGCACTTAAACAAATTCCGTTCTAAATCACGGAAGTCAATGCGTTGCCTTAAGTAAGGGAAAGAAGGTGCATAAGGACGGGTCGTTAATATAGACTGTGCTGTGGAATGAGCAACAAAATTCCTGAGATCTAGCAGATCCGCTCCTAATGTTTGCACTGCTTTTATCTTCCAGATCTGGCCAACGGAAGTTTGCACGATCTCATAGATGATCAACTCAGTGGAGTCTTGGGTGACGCCGGTCTTGAACACAGCAACCCTATGCTTCTGGGCAAGGAATTTCGCTCTCAACAAGTCGTTAGAAACCCGAATGGCAACCTGCCGCCCATCTTCATAGTTCCACACTCGAAGAGATAAACGATCTTCAGAAATAAAAACAATCCATGGCTCGCGAGGATGAACGTCGAATTCGATGCCCATCATATCTCGCTCTAGAATTTTCAGTGCCAGCTCGAGTCCCTTTCGCGCGTCATGGCCTGCCATGGTTTATGCTCAACGTCAAGCCAACCAGTCCTTTCCAGAGTAGTGTGTCTTGATGCTACGAATCCGTTCAGTCCCTAATGCTTTGCTTGCCCCTCCGATTTTGCTACACCCTGAACGAGAACCGTAAACGGCCCAACAGAGTAAGTGCGAATGGGATCAGTCGGGCCCAACAAAATCAACGCTGTCCCTTGGTCCCCACTCATCGAACGAATGACATAGGAATGTACTGTGAAGGCGGATATAGTTCATTAGACGGTGAGCACACTAACGATTTTAGGACTGTCACTGCTTATATTGTTATACCTCATTTTGAGAAGTATCACTACATATACTTCTCGCTCCTCTAGTCTTAAATGCTCTCCTCATAATATGAGAGATATCTGAGAGCTATCACTGCAGATGATATCTCATGGTAGCACTATCACAGTCTAGCAGTACTAGTACAAAGACATTAGCTACTGAGGTGATGGCGCAGTATAGAAACTCGGCCGAGTTACTCTGCATTATCTAATACACAGATTGCCGCACCAAGAGGATGGCTTCGAATGCAATTGGAAGAAATCATTCAGAAAGGTGTTGCGAGTGAGCACGCTCTTAGCACCACCAATCTGGATAAGATGAACAAAGAGTAATGGTAATTTGGTACTGTATTCTCCGATGAGCGGCGTAAAGGAAGATTTGGGAAGTCAAACTGGAATACCCGCCAACTTCAACTCACGGAGGTAAGATGAGGAGAGACAACCAGAGTGTAACACGAGGCCAAACGACGATTATGTGGAAAGGAGAAGGGTTACAGAGTCTCAGTTCTGATGACGTTCCTTCCAAAGAAAGCGGGTTGTACATCGTTGATTCACAGAGGGGGTTGACAGAGCGATTGGGAGGGGGGGGAGGTGGGTAGCGGGAGGTCGCAAACTCATAATAATCTGGCCTGTTAGCGTGACTGGCCACTGACTTTGGCATGAACAACACTCTCGGCTGAAGAAGTGTGTACCTCTTGTGCCGCAGTAACCGGACCACTTAGTCGTGAAACTCAGTTCAACTTGTTGCCTCTCATCTTGGATGCACAGCACGTCCAGTTGTTGCCACTCATCTTGGATTCTTGGACGCACAGCACGTCCGCAACAACAGTACGGAAAATGTAAGAGCAGGGCTGCTGGGCATGTTGCAGAGAAACAAAATGGTAATCGTAACGGAACATTTGAAAAAAAAAGAAAAAAAGAACAGGAAGACGTAGAGATTAAGTGCAATACATCCAGCAAAAGCTTTTGAGACCAGAAATAGAATAGTCCGGATCTCCATAGAGTTTGCATCTTGTGTTCAGCCAAGTCACCATCTATTATTGGTCGCTTTGTGATTGAGCAGAAAAGATTGCATAATAATGCTTCAATCTGCCAGTGCAAAAAGGAGAACGAATTCAAGGATGATTTTCCTAAAGAAAAACAAAAAGAAAGAAAGAAAGAAAAAGAGAAAGAAAAAAAGAAGACAGCATTCAGGTTTTTTTTTTGGATCAAAACAAACGAAAAAGGAGCAGCACAGGAGGGAATGGTCCAGCCGACCGGTACAGAACGGCGGGACTGCAACAAGAACACATCAGATTCATGATCAGAAAGGGCCGACAGGAGCGACTAGAGAGTACAAAATCTAGTTTGGAGAACTCTGGAGTCACATCGAAGGGAAGTAGTTCCAACTTCCAAGGCATGAGGAGAGAACAGAAAGACAAGAACTTGTCAAATCTTCGTTAGTTTCTCAAAATGACTTCAACGTTCGGCAGTTCTGCGCCCCATCTGGACTGCGCACCGTACGGCAGGAGCGAAGGAACCGAGGGTCCACTCGCGCCGGTCATTAATGCATCTCCACCCTCATCCGCGGAATTCTTGCTGAGAGTATGCCACAAGCTCTCTCTACGATGGCGTCTTGAGTATCGCCATAGCCAAAACCAAGAAGTTGGACGGAGAAGAGCAATGACGAGACAGGAGTCAGCAACTGTGCGGAACAGCATATGCCCGCCGTCAGCATGTGCCAGAGAGGGAGAGAAGCAGGTGAGGAGGAGATATCCATGATTTCAGATGAATACTATGTTCCCAGTTACAACCAGAATCAGGGTGCTGGTATCCATGATTTCAGATGAATACTATGTTCCCAGTTACATCCAGAATCAGGGTGCTGGTGGATCTAAGTTAAACTTGCTCTCAGCACGAGAGGAGGGAAAAAGATAGCGAGAGAAGAATGAGGAGCGGGGTGCAGCCACCTCGCTGGTGATTCTGCAAGGGAGAGGACGAAGAGGAGGAGATTGGGAGGAGATATCCATGATACCAGATGAATATTATCTTCCCAGTTACAACCACAGTCAGGGTGGCGATGGATCTCGCTTCCCGCTTTTTCATCACAACCGACGCTCCCTCGCGTCCGATTCCTGCCGTACACACACTCTCTTCGCCAGAGTGCAGACATTGCCAGACAAGATTGGAGACAACCTCGTCACACTCTTCTTCGTCCCTTCTTGGGGCCTGAGAAAGCGAAGTCAGCGTGCTTTGTGACAACTGATCTTCATCTCCCTTTCCCTCAACACAATATAGATGGCTATCCATGAATATTATGCTATCTTCCGAGTTCCTGTCCATGAATATTATCCTATCTTCCAAGTTCCAACGAACATCGCCCACGCCGAAACCTTTTTACCGGATCATAAATTTGGTGCATAGACAGGGGCACATTCATTCCAATGTAAGAGAGGACGAGGCCGGAACCCTAATCATGGATAGAACGACGAGGGCCGAGTACGGTATCTTGAAAAAGAGTGGCCCTACCGCTTCATGAATCTGGCGCAGAAACAGCACAGATTCGTTGTCCCTTATAAACAGGCCAATGGATCCGTGGCCATGCCGCGAAGGCACCTTTCACTCAGGCAGTAGTACCAAACGGCCGAACTTCGGGCGCCCAAAGCCAAAAAGGAGGTTTGGGCATGGGCGCTTTCCACCAATTATCCCCCTGATTGAGGTTGCAACTTGGAAGATAGGATAATATTCATTGATAGGCTCCTGTGTTATGTTGAGGGAAAGGGAGATGAAGATCAGTTGTCACGACCATTTAGAGGTGAAGTTCATCGGTACACTGACTTTTCTTTCTCACGCCTCAAGAAGGGACGAAGAAAAAAAAAAAAAAAAAAAAAAAGAATGTCACGAGGATGTCTCGAATCTTGTCTGCGCTCTGGCGAACAGAGTGTGTGCTTGTCCAATCCGCAGGTTGCGAGCGAGCGAGCGAGCGAGAGAGAGAGAGAGAGAGAGAGAGAGAGAGAGAGAGAGAGAGAGAGNGAGAGAGAGAGAGAGAGAGAGAGAGAGAGAGAGAGAGAGAGAGAGAGAGAGAGAGAGAGAGAGAGAGAGAGACAGAGAAGTGTCTCAACAATCACGGGGAACATTGTTAAGGAAGGGACGAGAGAAGAAGAGAAGCGACCGGGTATTGGCTACCGTCTTCAGCCGAATAGAAGGCCCGGTCATTATTTTATACCTGTATTTGGCACAACTTTCAGCCCAGATACGGCGATAATTACCGGGCGACGGGCGTTCTATTCGGGTGAAGACGGTAGTGCCCGGCAACAAGAGTTGCACGATTTAAAGCATACATACATAAGAAAGCAAGAAAGGAGAAGGGAGGAACATAAGACTGCGCATTTAACAAGGAGGACAATGTATAGAATGTCTCGAACGTCTGGTCTCATCTTCCCTTTCGGACTTAGCAAGAGCATAACAAAGAGTCCCATATGACACTTCAGCAAATATCGTCAGTACCCTAAGCCAGAAAATGACGACAGCAAGCAACCACAGAAGAATGTTGAGCCATTCCATATAGACGAGACACGTGCTAAAAGTGAAAATTTGAAAAGGGACTAAGTATCTACTACCGCCGTCTACCGGTAGCTGCAAGGAATCAGATACAGGAGGAAACAAGCAGAGGTATTAGCAGAGCAGGTAGAGAAGGGAAGAGAAGAGTAGGACAGAAGAGATCATAGCCAGGAGTTAACACGAGCGAGCGACCAGGAAAGGGGCCGTCGGCCCGTCGGTGACTTACCAAAACTCCAGTCCTCCTTTACTGATTCTCAAAATATCTCCTTTTCACAAACACAGGAAGCCTCGGAAGGTTGGAAGGTTGGGACGGCAAATACACTTCTCTGCAATGTCTGCATGAAACACGAACCCTGCACAAATGAGCAGCAAGAACAAAACTGTAAGAGAGACAGCGACGACAGGACAGAAGAAGGGATGATGGACATGCAAGGGAGGCTACTCGGGTACAAGCCGGCATATGGATGCAAGGTTGGTCGTGAGTAGATTTCCAAACGTGAAAACTCTACAGACAAGACCAGAAACACAGACACAGACAGAAAGACAGACGGATAGATAGATAGATAGATAGATAGATAGATAGATAGATAGA